GATTGTTTAATGAAATAAAGAAAAAAAAAAAAAAAAAAAAAAAGAAATCCTTCTGCACAACGAACTTATGGGCTGTTGACCAAATACCGTGTAATAAGAAGTCCGTGTAGTCGGAGGGATGTCGGATTTTTAGCTCCGTGTAGTATGGGAACCGTGTACCCAGAGTGCCGTGTAAAGCGAGGACCTACTGTACTATTTATTTTATTCAATTTTTAAATTCTTGTTTAGTTCATCTGTACCCGAGGATTATTCTTACTCGACCTATCACTTCTTTTATGATGTCGGATTGTCCCAATTAGACCAGCCGTGGTCCCATGGTAAGAGAGTGTCCCATAGTAGCAATCTCTAGTCCTGGGTTCGATTCTAACCTCAGTCAGCTTGGTATCAAAGCAATATGATATCAAATTTTCACTTGAAAATAGATTTCAAATATAATTTCAAGTGAAAATGGCATTTAGTGGACATAGCTGTAGTTGCAACACGCAAAGTAACACGAAAGGCTGTGTATAGAAAATAAATGTACTCTGACTCTGTGTATCCATGATTGAGAAATTAAAATATGTAATAAGAATAAAAAAATGTAAATGAAAAGTAAATGGTAGATAAAGTAAATGAAAAGTAAATGATAAATGTAGAAGTTAAATGTGTGTAAAATATAAGAAAAACAAAAAAAGTACGTGTTTTCATTTTGGGAAACCTTGCGCTGCATGGCCGGACAAAATACAGGACTTGAATATCAAACATCTATTTCTTGCACTTGGATTATTGAAGCATAGTTTTATTTTGAAGTATAGAAGCAAGTTATGTAATACATTTTGGAACCAACCTTCATAGAAGTGACATCAGTCTAATAAATAACGGTATTCCCTATCAGATCTGTTGACGTGAGTTGTATGTAATCGAAAAACTACCGAAGTGTTCTTGTGAATTTATATCGAATGTATTCTAATAACATCAAAATGTTTTATATAATTAAAGTGATTTGATATTTTCATAAGTTATTCCATTAATAGAAAACATATGGTTATTCATCTTTATAATAATATCATTTGTGGTAGCACTAAGAAAAGGAAACTGACTTCTAAGCCAGTCGCTAACGCAAAGAAGCTACAAAACAGGTACGAACCATTAAATAACTCCACATAAATTAGAAATATCAATGCGTATTGAAATAACGAAACTGTCAAAGGTGCACTTGACCTTTTTACAACATTTAATTGCAGTTAGAAAAGCAATCTTCTCTAAACTATTGCTATGGTTGCTAGAACACGAATAGTACTGGTCGGATGCTTCTTCAATCTTCTAATTGTTGTTGGTTCTAATACGGATTTTTTTTTTAATTTTTGAACAACAATCTGAAATGAATAGTGCTATAAGCTGTTTTGCTAATTTGACTTAATACTAGTCTGTTCGACAGATGGCAACTCCAACAGTTGTCCTATCTGATATATCGTTATTACATTTTTTGTAATAGGGCGAATATTATACGATTTTTTTTAATATTTTTAACAGCAATCAGAACCTTACGTCCTATGAGCTGTTGGGCTGAAACTTCTCCTTACTTCGTATTTTTAGATGGTAACCCAATGGTTATTTCATTCATATTTGATGATTTTTGTTATTAGTTAATTAATCTAATAGGGGTGACTTTTTATTGGTGCAGCAATGCCGGGCAAGGGCTATTTTTACTTGGAAACGTATTGCTATCTATATTTCCAAGTGAAAATCGTTGTCACTGCTGCCTGACAACAGGCTGCTCGAAGTGGGTATCGAACCCGGGACCTCTGAAACAAGTCCCGGAAATTAATGCAGTCCCTGAAAATTAATGCAGGATTATTGTGATTGAAAATCTTTATCTTCATGGAATCCACTGCGGTTTTTTTTTCTACCTATTAAACAGTATTAATTCTCGAGTTGTTGTTAGGATTTCTAAATTGCATCAAGATTTCAAAGTTGATTTACTTTGAAAGCGTATTTCAAAACTGTGTCCAATATTCCAATTTGAACTATGGGGTCGTAAAATAAAACAATGTTGTGGCCATTATACTTGTTTATCTATGGTTGTGGCAAGGTTATGCTATGTAACAGTTTTCATACAAAATGGTACTAAATACTGCCAAAAGCCACGTGGTTCTTATGCAGTTAGGAGTTTAGGATAGAAAACATAACCTAGAAAATGCACAAATGTTAAAAAAAACGATGCTATCATAACTGCATCTTTGGAACGTGGGATAAAAACATATGAGTGAAGTTGCATTTTATGTGTAATACGCCTGATCGTACAGCAAATGCATGACGTTTGGACAGTATTTAGTACCATTTTTTATGCAAAACGCTTCCTAAAATAGCCTAGCCATAACATTGTTCTATTTTATGGCAGATTTGGCCCTTTTATCTTTGTTCAAAATTTATAATGGCCAATCATTGAACAATTTTCGAAATGGATTAATAGAGCTAATATAATTAGTAGACATTTTGATTGTTGATGAAGCATTTCGAACAAGTATAAATAATTAAATTATAATGGATAATTTGGAAAAAAATTGATTATCCTTATTTCAATTAAGGCCTAAATTAATTACTTTAATTGTAACTTAATAAATAATGAATAAAATAACATAGTTTTTTATTCACTATAAATATTAAAAATAATTTGTGATAATAATTCTTAAGGAAAATGTTTAATTGCTTAACTTTATAATATGCTACGAAATATAAAACATAAATTTTATTTTATATCAAACCCAAAAGATATTTATGAAGCTAATTATTTGTTATTATTAATTCTGAAACATTTATTTTATTTTCCATTTTCTATTAATTTGTATAATAATGGTTGTGTTTTGCGAGCAGATTTTAAAAGATTTTTTATACCACTATGTATTATCATGTGCGTATTGTGGCAAGTGGCAGAGGACATTTGGAATTATGCATACCAAAATGAAATAAGCAAAATTTTCAATGTTGTGTTTTGTATCTCAGTATTACAAATGTTTTCCATAATTAGTTCCATCTTGGTTTGTTATTTTTTAACGCTTCTGAAGACCAAAAAGTTCATTAAAATATTCGCGTCCTTAAAATCATTTGATGATATGGAGTATAATTATAGAATTAAACGCTCATATAAAAAAATCAGTTTTTATAATTTATGTATTTTTATTTTTTTTATTTCATTTGGAATTTATATCACTGTACTGAGCGGACTTATGTATGTCGAGTACGATATTACTTTTATAGTATTATTTTTTGTAGTCGCTTTTATACCTCTCTTTAATGTACTATTAACCTTTTATTTTTATATAATGATTATTTTCATAATAAAGCTAAAATTTGAATTTATTGCTGATTCTATACAGGAACCAACTTATTACAAATATATAAGTTCTGAGAATAATTTAAAAAATCACAATACTTGCAATCAAGAAATCACTATTTGGAACAATCAGTATTTGACCATCGATAATTTTTTAAGATTGCACATTTTCTTATGTGATTTGAGCGAAGAATTCAATCAAGATTTTGGTGCACTAATTTGTACCGCAATTACTGCTTCATACATTTGGATCATAGTATATTTTTTCGAAATTTTGGAGATAAATGAAATATCTCCTTTAAAGGGAATATTACTAATATTAACCAAAATATTTTTCATACTATTAATTATTTTAATATTATGTGTATTGATAATTTTATCGCACGTGTGTTCCAAAAGCATTTCAGAGGTAAATATTCTTAATTATAGAAAAATTTTAACGGGTAATTCAATATTAATAGGTAGACTCTGTATAGTTTCGAAGTATAATTTATTGTTTTTTTTTCAAAATTTATAGAAGAATTTATTATTTTAAAATCTAGATTAATTTAGCTCTTTAACTTGATATAAATTGTAATGCACTGATATCGTAACTTTAAAATAAAATTCAATTCAGTGATGTCAGATGATCATGTAGATTTTTGCTTTTTATGAATCTTTTGTGGTTTTGGTTTTATAAACTTTTTTTATTGCGTATAAAATTGAAATGAATTGAACAAAAACTATATTACATTTAGAATAAAATCAAAATAATTTCAGTGCTTTGGGTTAAAATTATGTAATGCAACAAGTTGTAGGTATTTTTATTTCAATATTTTTTCCGTGGAGCTTACTATAAAAATATTTTTTAATTTTTTAGTAGCTTCTTGACGATAATTTGAAAACATATTAATTTTGCGATAATTTACTAAAGATTCATATAAATACTAAAATTTTACCATAATGAAATTTTTTCTTTTCGACTTGCTTTATTATTGAAATTTTAGTTCTTGCGAATTGAAATATCTACCTGAATTCCAAGAAGATTGAATAAATTCATAAAACAGAAATTCAGAAATTTAATATAATTTTTTTTTCAATCCATACATATTTGTAGCTCATTTACGTACAATCAATTTTTAAAGAGTTTATTTTATTTTAGGCCAAAAGAACCATAAATACAATTTGTAGTGTCTTAGAAAATCTCTCGTTGGCAGTGTTTTTGAGAACAAAATTAATTTGCCTTATCTCAGAGATGATACAAAGAGACCTTAAATTTACTTGCAATGAAATGTTTACAATTGATTATACACTGCTCCATAATGTAAGTTCTAATTTATATAAAATTTCAACCATATTATATATATAAAACTTAAGAAATTAAAATATTTACAGATATTTAGCAGCGGAGTATACTTCTTTTTTGTTTTGATGCAGTTTTTGTAGAAAAAGTGATTTTTTAGAAAAAGAATTGTTTCAAAAATATATTTATTTGGATTTTATTTTAACATAATACATTTCAAAAAAATACCATGTTTTTTCTTGGAATTATTTCGAACGTTAAATACTACAGAAAATAATTACTAATAATAAAAAATATGTCTTAAATACTTAAGTGAATCTTATACTACTTATAAGTCTAAATAACAGTCTTTAATAAACAGGTAATTATAAGAGCTTATAAGAGCAAAATACAATGAAAATTCGAAAACTAAATATATAAACGTGGTTAAAATGATCTACATAGTTAGCACGTGAAGGTAAATGGAGTTTCAAATTTGATGAACCGCAAATTGAAGTAATTCCTTAATCCTATTTCTTATTCCTAATTATGCTGAAGTCAATGAAGATGCCATCAATTTACTTTGACTCTTTGGCTGGTTGTTTAGCATCAGATTTCTCTTGTGGTTTTTCTGGTTGTTGCTTCCTGACTGGTCCAGTGTGCTCAATTGGTACTATTCTCTCATTACTTGGCGGAATGGCAGCCTTTTTGGGGGCAGTGATGGTCAGAACACCATCTGATGAAAGATTGGTTTTCACATCTGTTGCTTCACAGCCTTCTGGGAGAACGTAACGTCTTACGAAATGACGAGAAACAAATCCGTGTTCATCAGGTTTTTCCTCGTGTTTTGCTTCTACTATGATGCAATTGTCTTGAGTTTTTACACTGATCTCTTTTGGTCGGAACTGCTGTACATCGATAGCCACCTAAAAATAAAAAAATAATTTATTATATTAACAAAATCGAAGGTTTTTGGGCGTATTCTAATAAAATGATTTTCTTAAAATTGGAATTAAAATATTGAAAATAATTTTGATCAACGACGAAACAGATTTTAACGAATGACGAAATATGTTTATGTCTGTATGACTGTATGTATTATTTATCAAAAATTATGGCTTATTCAAATTAATCGACAGAATAATCAATTCACTATTCAATTCATTTAACTGCTATTTCGGAAGAGTTTAATAAATTTATTTTTTACACGGCACTGCGTGCAAGGCGACTTGATCCACAAAGGTCAATAATTATTTTAAGGTATTTAATAAATTATTATTTAGTAATCATTTTTGTTGAGTTTATGCATTTTCACAAAACTGCAAGGTTGAGTGATTTTAGTGAAAAAAATCTAATTATCTTTAACTACCTGAAACTTGTCCTTTTCAGGAATGGAAGCAGTATTATCTCCTTGCTGCTTAGCATCTTCATTTCTGCGTGGTTTAATGACGAATGAAAGGGCTGCTGGTGTTTGTTGACGGCTGTATCTTAAACCAGGATGGAATTGCTGGTCAAGCAAACGCAGAGGATGATCGCAGTAACAGTCGTCATCCCACCAATTTCCAAACATCAATGGAATCAGAGACATTGTGTAGATGATTTGATACCTGTGAAAAAAGTAAGACTTTAGCAATCTAGTTTGTACTGGATGAAAATTATTCACAGTATTGCATGTGGTTATATATTCTATTGCAGTATTATATATATAATAAACGTTTTTTTCAATTTTGCAATTTATGCAAATTGAAACTTAAGTATGCATATTTGATGCCATGTAGTAAAGCTAAAACCATAGATAAGGAAACCTAAATGTCGAGTTCGCTTATAAACAATATTTATCTATTGATCAAACAAGATATATAGGTTAAACAAGAAGTTAACTCTTTGGGAACGGCTGTCCACCTGAGTGGACAAACATACTCTGTGAGGCACAGGCTATTTTATAAACAATGACTCAGTTTGCATCGAAAAGTTGAATAAATTACATATTGCAGTGGAAATCAGTGTTGTATTTTGAGTAATTTGAGTAGTACTTTTAACCTGTTCCTTTGCTATAGTCTTTTTCAATATTTAACTCGACCGAGCGCTTTTAAATATGGCAAAACGACTGGTTAATTTTGTGAATTAAGCAGTAGTGAAGATGATTTTCAAATAGACATTTATACAGACAAATTTTACGAAATTACTATACGCACCGAAGACGGTGATGAATGTAATGATATTATTTAACCAACAAATAATCAAGTTTGACATACATCAACAAACACCCCGACTACAAATACCAAGCAATATAAGACATCCAATAGATTATTTTACTTTATGTTTTACAAATGAATTATTAGACAATATAATAGAAAAAAAAACATTATGGCAGCAAAAAAATTAACAAATATACTAATAAAAGGAATTGTATTGTCTGTTCTGCTGACAGAAAAGCACCAGTAGGAATAAGGCGGCGAACGACATTTTATTGTAAAACATGTCAAAATCAACCAGCTATGCATTTTCGGAAATTGTTTTGAATGTCACCATTCTTTATAAAATGATCAAAAATACATTATCATTATAAATGTATGTCCTTCAATGAACACAAATTTTTATCAAACTAATTGCATAACATACACAAATGAAATCAAAGTTTACAGTACAGTACAATTAAATAGATTGTTTTGAAATCGGTGCCGTCCCGTAAGTGTTAATTTTGATAAATTTTAGTTTATTTTTTCAAAGCTGACAAAATGAAGGATCTATAGATCTCTCATAAGAATGTAGAAGCATCTCACTGAAATTCTTCTACCATGCCTTGATATATATTGGGAATCAAATTTTATTTTTATCTGAATGACTAGGAGTATTACTTGTTCTGATTGCAATTCGATGTGTTAAAAAAATAAATTTGTAATATTGATGTTTTGAATATTATATATTATAATATATAGTTTTATATATTATATAATGCGTTTATAAATAATGTTTGCTGCTGCAGTTTATTGATCAACTAGATATAATTTTATATAGGTCAGTATGCAATCCAATGCGCAGTACTGCATTTATTCCCATATATTTTACCTTGAACTACAGATGCATCTATATTTACATGGAGTACTTTGCAAATGTAATGAACTTCATAAAAACAAACACATTTTATTTATGAAATACTATAATAATACGCTGGTAATTATTATGAAAAAATGAAAAAAATTAAACGTTGAATTTATAAAACCACATTAAAAAAAATCATTCATAATGAAAATAAAAATTCATATTTATGTAATATAAGGTACGAATTTTAATGATTAATTAAATAATAATCTAAACTAATTTGGAAAAAAATATAATATTTAAAATTGTTAAAAATATGTGGTAACTTACACTAAATAAATATAAACTCTTATTGATTATATTATAAATTAATATTGTGCATTGCATAAGACAGTTCAATACGAAAGGTATATAGTATACATAGGTGTAAAATATTTTCCCAAATTAGGTATATATACATAATATATACCTACTATAAAATATTTTGCATCAAGATGGGTTATACAACGCGTAATTATCATTTATAATATTATATAGTGTAAGTTACCACATATAATTAATTAACAATTTTCAAATTAATTAATTAATAATTCCATTAAGTATTATTTTCATCAAATTTTGCACTACATATATTTATCAAACTTAATTTGAGAAAATAACTTAACTACAATAAAAATGTTTCGTATTAATCGGAATTCGTATATATAGTGTAAGTTACGTAGTGTGATATTCAATTAAGAATTTTGATATTAATTAATTTATAGTCCGATGTAAATTTTTATAACCCATCTTGATGCCAAATATATTTCCCAATTAGGTATATATATATAATAATACCTACTATAAAATATTTTGCATCAAATGGGTTATACAACGCGTAATTATCATTTATAATATTATAAGTGTAAGTTACCACATATAATTAATTAACAATTTTCAATTAATTATTAATAATTCCATTAAGTATTATTTTCATCAAATTTTGCACTACATATATTTATCAACTTAATTTGAGAAAATAACTTAACTACAAAAATGTTTCGTATTAATCGGAATTCGTATATATAGTGTAAGTTACGTAGTGTGATATTCAATTAAGAATTTTGATATTAATTAATTTATAGTCCGATGAAATAATAAATTTTCAGCCACTTCTTAAAAAGAATCAAACTATTTTTGCAAAACAACAAATAGATACTATATAAAATTATTTTGTTTAAACGGTTATGCAAGGCGCAATAATCTTTTATAAATTATAAGATGAATTTATAAATTTTCTAGTGTAAGTTACGACTTAATTAATTTCAAGATAATTCTCAATTCGATGAAATTATTTTACATCCATTCTTACACAAAAAATATTTAAATTTTGTTTTTGAAAATAACATAATATACATCTGCAGTAAAAAATATTACACAATATTCATTTATAATATTGGACAATATCTATTTATAATATAATCAACATAAATACATAATTTAATTGTGCAAATTACGACGTATAATATTAATTAACTATTTTAAAATAGTTTTCATTCATAGTTATTATAATTATACTATTATAATTAACTTTCCGAAGGAGAAGTTTTGGCAAAAAAAATCCGATTTGCTAAATTTTATGTTTTCTCGATGTTTCAAGCCATTCTGAATCGAATGAGACCAAATTTGGGAAAAGTATGTGTGTACTTTTGATCGAAGTTCTTTCAAAAACGGCTGGACCAATTTTCATAATTCGATAAAATATTTTTTATTCACATAAAATATTTTTAAAAACCAATTTGGAAAATAACTCGACATTTCAGAAAAATTTGGAGTAAGTACGCGTGTGTGTGCGAGCCGATTTTTGACCCTTGGTTGAAGTTTTTTCAAAATCTGCTGAACCGATTTTCATAATTTGATAAAATATTATTTTTCGTTCTTAGTTGCACATAAAATATTTATTCATTTATTCATTTAGACGCCAATCGGCTTATAAATATTATTATAATTTATAAAAACTAGTTTGGAAAATAACTACTATGAAAAAGTATTTCGTATTCATCTGCATTGTGCAATGCATATTATCAGTTAATTATAACGTATAATATATTATATATTAAATTAAGAATTTTCAAATTGATCAAAACTAATATTATAATAATATAAAATGTAATATAGTACTCCAAAAAAATATTTTTATTAAACTGCGATGCAACTAAAATGCATAATACAAGCGCACTCCTCTTACAAATACGTACCTTTAAATATCTTCAACAATTTTAAATCTCTTGATTGATCGTGATGTGTTTATTTCCCGGACACTTTTATAACTAACTTGATGTGAAATTTAATGGCAACTATTATTTTATTTTTTTCACCTCGTATGCACTTTTCAAATGCAGTTCTTTGAATGCAATCGTGAATCGATACTGATGTTGAATCGGTTTTGAACCGGTGTTTTATACCAGAATTCGACGCTAGAGAGCGCTAGACTATTCTAGAACGCGACGATTGTTCGAGACTTGACTCATGGACGGTGGAATGTTTTTTTTTTTTTTTTTTTTTTTTTTTTTTTTTTTTTTTTTGATAGTTATTTTATTTATTTACATATATACATTATTTTCATATCTCAGTCAGACAGAGGTGCCTGGTATGAGAGATTATGAAAAACAGTTTTCATATAATATTTACATTTCATTTGACAATAAGGTCTATTTCATTAATATAATATCTAATATGTTTGAGAATATTCTTGAATAATCTCACGATTACGTTGATGTTTTGTAGAATTTTTGCTGATCTAATTTGGTTTGTGAAAATATATCATAGTCAACAGTGAATATGAATACTAATATTTGAAATTGATGATATTTATATATTATTGATGTATTATTTAGAAATGCAATGATGAAATATTTCATAATGTTATATATTGTTGCAATTATGTACTATTTTATTATGATTCAATATCAAACATAATTTTTCAAATTTTGATGCCATTATTATAAAAGAAATTCCGAAAAGAAATTTTTCCGAAGTGTTTCTATCTCGATTCTATTTTCGAGTCTATTCGATGGTTTAACATATTTTATTTATATTATTTATTATAATGTTATTTTATAATATTTCATTTAGAAAGGGAATGACGAAATATCTCATAATATTATATATTATTTAAACTATATGCGAATTCATTTATAATTTTTAACTAGTTGTTGTGGCATCGTGCCTTAAGGCAAATTGCTGGAGCTTCACGTACCAAAAATACATTTTTCAAAAAAGATTTAATTTTTTTTAAAACTTTGAAAAACTTGATTTTTTTAAATTTTGAAATGTTTGAAAAAATGGCTTTTTTTAAAAAAAAGGTTTGTTTTATATTTTGGAAATTTTGTACTTATTTTCAAAGCAATCGTGCTGCCTTAACTGCTGCGTAGAGACGAATATTGAAGCGCGTAAGCGCTGCGTTGTAATCTAACGAATAAACAATGTTACGAAACGTATTGAAATGTAAACAAAATTTATACTTATTATTAAAATCTCTATAAAATATCTGAAAATTTTATGTACATATATAACATATATGTCTAATGATCATTTTTGACCGCCAAATGGCGCTTTTTTTTACTTTTTTACTCGATCTTCGAAAACGCTAGACCTGCTTTCTTCCAAAATTAAATCAGTTCTTCATTTTGTCAATATAAGTAAAATCTTTTTTGAATTTTCAAAACTGAATTACCATTTGTGGCACTTTCTGTCCCGTATCTTTGTAACGACTGGACCTGCTTTGTCCAAAAACTAATCAGCACGTCTCCTTATCAATAGGATTGGAATGTGCTTTGAATCATTCAAATCGGTCGAACCGTGTTCCTAAAATCCTTGATGAAAATTTTTATCCGAACACACACCACACACATACACACACGCACACACAACAATCCATTTTTTTCTAAGGTATGTCAAAATGTTCAGAAACCTTTGAAACGTGAAAAAATATAAAAATTTTCATTTTCGATTTTTGCGATTACTATAACTTACCCTACGGGATGTTGGAAAGTAGATTTTTTTCTATTTCTAGGGTAAATATTTTCTAAATAGTTTTGTTGCAATAGTTGCAGCTATATTTTAAAAGCCTTATTTAATGGAACCGATCGCTAATTTATATTGATTCAGGTGTCATTGAGAAATCGAAGGTGTCTTGCAAGTATTTTACATAAGACATATATGATTTTTATCAGAAACATATATCCCAAACGAAAATTAATTGAATATTATTGAAATATTTTAAATAGTTAAAAACTATTTAATTCAAGTATTACATTAATTTAAAAAAAATAATTTAATACATAATTTCAAAATAAATTCGGATTCTTACGAAAAACTTATTTTTACTTAAAACTTATAACTAATATCTTTCTAATGGTTTTTTGAAAAATTAAAATCCGTTCAGACAGGGTACAAAAGTCCAATTTTACTTTAAGTTATTATACCGTCTAACCAAATTATCTACTTCATACACCTATCAAACAACTATCGCACTGTGTTTTGTAAAATTTTCAGTTAATTCTTAATTATAGAAATGTATTTATTGGTTATTTTTTTAATATTTATCATCTGTCCTTTTTACCCAATAATCGGGGTAAAATGAGGTATGATCTTTTTACTTTTCAGCCTCTCTTTAATTATCAACACTATTATCATCGTTGCATTCTCTAGTTTGTCTCTTCTTGTTTAAGCCTTTGATCTTAGGAAATTCTACTCGTCTTTTTCAGTGCTTCTATTTTACATTCAACTATGTAAAGAGCAAAAGATCGCTCCTGTACACAATAGCTCGAACCAGTTTTTTTCTCTAAAAATGCTTGTAGATATTGAAGTGATCCACGTCATTTTTTTGTATTTTTATACTAATGTTCTTAGAGGCTCATCTATTTTCATTTTTATCATTATATTCGATTGGTTTATATTTATCCTTATTTCATATCGCCTTCTGTATATTGTATTTGATTGTGATTCTTCTTCTCC